GTTCTACCCTCTTCCTCATGTCGTTGTCAGCTATTCTGTTGTAAGTTTCTGACAAGTTCTTGTGAAATTTACGTTTGTTAAATTTAAATGAAATATTATTTGAAACGAAAATCTTGTTCTCACATTTCCAGTTTATTTTATTTCTTTTTCAATTAATTATTTATAATGTTTTAATGTTTAATAGTTTAATATGTATTTCATCCTATGTGTTCCCCAAGGCTTTATAAGTTCTTTTACCTTATAAAATGAACATCGTTAATGTAAAAAAAGAAAGAAAAAACCTCAAAATGACTCCACATCCTCGGCATGCGATGCAATCGAAATGATCGTGTAAAAAATGGTTCCAAATCAGAGGAGGGGAGGACAAATGTCTTAATTGGTTTTTATGATTTAAAAACATTTAGAAAAAAACGCAATTAATTACGATATGACAAATTGACTTTTGAGTTTATCATTGAGAAGAGCTGTCCATATCCATTTGATTTTATTCTCCTTAATGTTTAATTAAAACTAAGTTTAGCAAACTTATTTTTTTACTCAAATATTGAAATTTTTTCTTTTCGATTTGTCAGAGAATAAAAATTTATTTAAATTAATAAAATTTGCAATGAGAGTGTCAGAGTATGCATTTTAAAGGCGAGCACTAAGGAAAGTCCTTTAAAAAGTGTAATCGGAAATGGAAATGTTTTTAAACATCATGTTTGATAAGTGTACTGAAAAAGAAATGTTAATTTTTGTCACGAAAACGAAAAAAGTGGAATTTTAAATGTTGATAGAAGTTTACTGTGAAATTTTGCCCTTGTGGTTTTTGTTATGCATGAAAATATTTGTAAATTTATTTTCTCATTTTTAGTCTACTGAACAACTTGATATTTTAAATATATATAAATTTTTTACTTTCATTTATTTCTATATTTTAGTTTTGAGTCTCCTGGCTTGTTCAGGTTTAAAACAATCAAAATTTTGATTGGCGATAAGTTCTGCTAATAGTGGTCAGAAAGCGTTTGAAAATTGTGTTTTCATCCTGTACATTTAATTGCAAAATTTCTTTTCTTTTTTGTAGAATAACAGTTATTTATTCTTACGTTTATATTCTAGGTTTGATTTTTGTTCATTTTCTTTTAAACAATTTAAATCCTGCGAATAAAAAGGAATTAATTCATCATTTATTTACTACTATTATTATTCTTATTAAATTTTACTATTATTATTTAATTAGAATAATAATAGTGTAATTTAATAATATTAGATTAGAATTTAATAATTAATATTATTATTAAATTTACTATCCATAGAAAAAAAAATATTTTGTGAAGAGCAAACACTAAAACGCTTGCAACGTTGCGCCTGTGTTTCTTAACATTTTTGGTCCGGTGAGTGGCACTTTAAATATTGTAGAAATCTACAACCACGATAAATACCTAAACATCATATTTACGTTCCTATAGTTCTTAGAAAACTCGAATAATGGTAACAAAACTAGTTCGATTTCGATTATTTAGTTCGAATGTTCGAATAAGCATATTCATTCATCCTGTCCTAATGTTAAAGATACTGAATAAAAAGTTTAAAATTGCAATTAAACATTAAGAAATTACTTTTCCACCATAAAAAACCTACTTTTTTTTTTACTTATACAGATATAATTATTTAAGGTCTATGATTATTTCCATTTCTGTGAGAATTAGACTAAAGTATATGTTTTTGTTAAAATGTATGTAAAAATTTTGAAAATTTTTACAGCTATAAATTTAGCTCCCCCTCCCTGTCTTAATTTTCATTGTATATTTTTATTACTTTTAATTCTAAGAATATCTTATTTTATTAATTTGATTTGATATTAAAAATAATTTGATTGATAACGTCACACTATATCAACTGTTGACTACGGTCCGGGAAAACAGTCCTTACCTATCTTGAAAATAAGTGTAGAGCTATTACGATTTAGATATAGAAAAGTAGATTTCGATACATAAACCATTCTCGATTCTCAACTATCTATCAATTAATTTAAAAGGCGAACTTCTCTTAGTGCAATTGGAACAATACACAGCAATAACGAATTTTACTTTCGTATAAAAATTAAATAATAGCATTTTTCTAATTGATAATAAAAATATTTAGATTAAATCTCTGAAATAGTTTCAGAATTACGCATGACACTATAAACAAGATGACCCTATCGGTGAAATGACCTTGTCGACGAAATGATCCTGTCAATGAAATGACCCTGTCAACATAATAACCTTTGCAAAGACATGACCCTGTCGACGAAAAGACCTTGTCGATGAAATGACCATGTCGATGAAATGACCCTAACGACAAAATGACTTGCCGACGAAATGACTCTGTCGACGAAATGGCCTGTCGAGGAAACGGCCCTGTCGAGGAAACGGCCTGTCGACGAAATGACCTAATCGATGAAATGATCTGTCGATTAAATGGCCTGTCGAGAATATTTTTTTTATTGCAATAGCACTTGACTTTACATCATTGGCCCCCATGCATCGAAGATGCATGAGATTGGAGCATATAAAACAAAAACTGAAACATTGAACAATACAAGAACAATATAATAGCAAGAACAATAAATACTTGCAAAACGTGAACCACTTAAACATGAACGAGAATCAGTCGCTGAATACCAATTGCATCAACTCCCTAGCTCGCCAATATCGACTGAATAAATCTTCTTCATTTAATGAAGAACAACTGAGCCAATGATGTTTGTCCATCTCAAAGTTCTGGTTGCACAAAGTGCACATAGGACTGCCAAATATACCAATTCTGTAGAGATGTTTAGCAAGGCAGTCATGTCCAGTCTCCAGACGGAACGCCGTCACTGCAGTGGATCTAGTGGAGTCGATGAAATGGCCTGTTGATGAAATGAACCAGATCCCCTGCCATCTCCTGAAAATTTTAATTGTTTTAAGCTGATATTCCAAATTTCTTGTACATTGAAAGTATGAAGTTTTCAAAAGTTTTTTCAATTGAATTTGGGGTCAAGTCTAAATCATTGAAAATTTTTGGTGGCTACCCAGATCAGGCAGCTGAAAAATTTGTACTTATCCTTTTTGAAACATAGCTGAAGTAGTAATAGTCAATTCTTAGAGTCAGTTAAAATTGTTGAGTTCTGTAAATCTTTGGGACTGTAAAATCTTGTTTTCGAGTTTCCCTTTCTTGTATTCATCAGAAGTATGTTTTTCCCTCATGGGGCAAGAGCTCTTAGTAATATGAAATCAGATTCTTTGCCCAACAGTAACGACTTGCCTGTTGTTAAAAAATGAAAAGCATCAATTGTATTTCCAGTAATAAAATTAATAACATTATCTTTTGCTATAATTGTTTCGATCAAAGCACTTTTTAATAGTCGGGAAAGTTTTAAAGTGAATATTTTTAGGGGGGGAAGGAAATAGCTTTCTTAGGAGTGGTAAATTATTTTCTTTTTAGATTTTACATTTCACAAGTCGCATTTTAAAATTTAATTGCATCGAATTTTAAGGAAAAATGTAAAATGGTTAAAACAAGAGAATTTCTGAAATAGGGCTTAATAGAAACAATATCCTCAGTGAGTAGGAATTTTTGCTTTACTATATGGATCCAACATTATTGATATTTTAATGCTTAATTATTGCGTAGCATTGCAAAAGAAAAAGTTTCAAAATCGTATACTAATATCCCCTAAATAATAAAGTTGAAAAGAAAAACATACTAAAATTCTATTTAGAAAATGCTGAAAATTTGAAACACTAAATGGGAGGAAGAATATCATCCTTAGGGAAAGGTGTCTATTTCTTTCATTACTAGAATCCTTGTTTTTTTATGTTAAACGTTTAATAGTTTAAAATTAAATCTGCATAAAAATTTTAATTGGAAAGAGCAAAGAATTTATAATTTTAAGGAGGGAAATGAAATGAAAGGTTTTAACAACTAAGACCCATGTGAACTAAATTCCAACATTTAATTGCCAAAAAATTCAAAATAAAATTTAATTTAAGAGGTATCTAAAACTTGCGGTGTTTTGGTCTTTAGAGTTTAATGACCAGCATTTATGTTTTAAAAAAATAAAAAGGCGTGAAAATATAATCTTCAAGGCATTTAAAGTTAATGATTTTAAACGGAAGGGGGAACTGTCCTACTTAAGGAATATTCAATTGCTTGAAAATGAAAAAGTAATTCATAAATAAATTTTTCCATGCTTTTTTTTCATTTGATTTTCAAGCAATTAAATTCCGGAAAATAACTTATTTGAAAAGATAAGTTGTTTGCATTGCTGTCCTACTCAGGGAATAACGAACAACTTTTATTTTCAAATAAGATATTTTCCAGTATTTAATTGCTTGACAATCAAATTTTAAAAGCTTCAAGAGTTTATTTATATATTTGTAAACTACTTAAAAATTATTGTTTTAGAGGAAAAAGATGAGAAGCGCTCCTTCGGGAAGTGGAAACTTTTTGGTTTTTCATTGCTAGACCTCATATGAGTATTTTTTCTATAGTTTCAATACTTTATAATTTTTTTAATAATTCAAGATTTTTCGATCTAATTTGAATGCACTTAATTCCTCTTGTCCAGATTAGGATTGCAAAAACTAAAACGTATTGTCTTTCGTAATCCTAATCTAGGCCGTTTGAAGCTGCCTACCATTGCCCGATTAACGGCTATACATAGGAGTTGTTACCGACCTGGGAAGTTCCGGCATTGAAATCAGGGTCGCTGCCCTATGCCTACAAGTTCAGAACCAATTCCGTAGTCTTAACTAATGCACAAATTAAAAAATTGCTGTTCGTTATCAAATTAATCACAAATATAGTGGAATGATTTTTAATAATTTGATATGTTAATACTCAATGAGTATTGTGCAAATCCTCTAAAGAAAAAACGTTGTGCATACATTTTTTTTAATGTCAGGAAAAAATGCTCTCTGTTTTTACCATTTGTATGATAAATTATATCTAAAATCTTTAATTCTTTTAGGGATTTTTAAGAGTTGCGTAAAATGGAAGATGTGTATGAAACAGCATCAGAATCTTCTAGCAAAATTGTTAGAAAAGGAAATTTAGTAGCTGAAAAGCGATCTTCTTTAGCAAGAAAAAATCCTGCAACAGTTCAGAGATCCAATTCTAAGCCTGTGTCAAATCTTTACATCAAGCCTTCATCTTTTCCTATCAATACTCCTCTGCCAAAACCTATCAGTAAGCCTTCGTCAAGACCCGTCAATACACTTCTGCCTAAGTCTATCAGTGTGCCTGCGACAGGTCGTATCAATACGCAGAGGTCAAAACCTCTGAATGAACCCCTACTATTACCAGAAGGAAATTACCAAAATTCAAGAAATAAATCAAAAGAATTACGCTATGTTAAAAGCCTTGTCGACAAGAGCTGTGATGAAATCTTGTTGACTGTTCATAAAGATGGAAGTAGATTTTTATCTCTCCTAAATGAAAATGTTGATCGCGATGTTCTAGCCTTGATGCTGATTACTTTGGAAAAAGCTGTAGCTCCTCGGTTACCCAAGCATGTTAACATAGTCATAAATAATGTGACGAGTTCTGGGACTTTCTTTCATGTAGTTACCAAGTACCTCGCATCGTTTCAGAGAAGTCGTCCTCAAGATATTCACTGTGATTCGCTGGTCAGCCTTGTGAATTTCCTGACCAAATTTCAAACGTGTTTACCATCCTCTGCTTCAGATTCATTGACGGTCCTGTTTCCGTTATTAAAGAAAACTTGCGAATTTTATCTAAGAGAAAGTAAGGATTCCGAAATATTTCAAAAGTTGCAAGAAATCGATGTTAGAAATAATGCATTTTTGAAAAATTTCACTCCATTTGAAGCTAAAAAAATTTCCTTCAAAGAAAAATTGCAGCTGGAAGAACCTCCGGAGAATTTCCGTTCTATTCCTATTCTCCCGTGTGCCGAAGATTTTCGTTGTACTTCTGCATTCATTCGTCCTAATGTTGTTAGTGGACAATATCAAGACACTGAACATTACTTAGATGTGCAATTTCGCTTGTTGCGAGAAGATTATGTCAAATCACTTCTTCGGGATGGTGTTGCAGAATATAAAGAGTTGAAAAAAGCTGGCAAACCAGTAAAAAAATGCAACAACGTGCGTGCTTATGAGAATGTTTATTTGACAACACAGCAGATTGCTTTAATTGGTCTTGTCTACATTGCTGTTTTCCAAGTTCAAGATTTTTCTCATGTCGAATGGGAATCTAGCAAACGATTTTTATATGGATCGTTGCTTTGTATATCAGACGATGACTTTGAAACTATGCTTTTTGCCATCGTGGCTGAACGGAAGATAGAAGAATTGAAAGAAGGAAAGTTAATGGTAAAATTCGAAGATCTATCAGAAGAAGTTTTAGATATAAATCCTGATCGAAAGTTTGTAGTTCTTGAAACTACAGCATTTTTCGAATCTTACCGTCATAATCTGAAAGCATTGACGGAGTTAGACGATGAAAAGATGCCAATGAAACGGTATATTGTTGATGTAGAGACTAATGTGCATCATCCTTGCTACTTGAAAGATGACACTACTTATGATATGCGACCACTGTTGATACCTCTTGATAAAGAATATGTGAAAAAATCGAATGATTGCACTGAGTATACTTATCCTTCAGATATCGAAAACAGAGCGAAAAATATATCTGTACTGAATTATAATAGTTGGCCAACTGCGAGTGAAATGGATCTCGATCCTTCTCAGTACAATGCTTTGAAAACAGCTCTTACAAATGAATTTGCCATCATTCAAGGTCCACCAGGTACTGGGAAAACTTATATTGGATTAAGAATCGTACAATTATTGCTCCACAATAAGAATATTTGGAAATCTGATGACCTTCATTCTCCTATATTGATTGTATGTTTTTCAAATCATGCTCTTGATCAGTTCTTAGAAGGTTTAACAGTTTTTACAGAAAATATTGTTCGCATTGGAGAAAGAGGAAAAAATGAAAATCTAGAAAAATTTAAACTCAGTAATTTGCGAAAACAATTAGAGGATGAAAAAAATGTTCCGACGCACATATTTTGTAACATAGGAGAGAAATTAGGCGTGTTAAATAATATTAGACAGGAAATAGAGACCACAAATAAACTCATTAAAGCATCGCAAAATAGAGCTTTAAACGTTTCAGAGCTAGAAAGCTGCATACCCACAGCACATTTTCTTTCTCTTAGAGAAAAAAGGGATGAAGCATCATATAATTCCATCTATAATTGGCTAGGGATCTGTATGAGTGAAATTGACGATTTTGTCTTTCGCATCAGTGCAGAGCTTCTTTCAAAAAGCGATCTTTTAGTAGATGCAAGTGGAAAAAGAATTGTGAATTTGAGGCAAAGAAATGAGCAAAATAGATATCAGAAATTGAAGGATTCTGTATGTTTTGCTGGTGAAATCTCAAAATACATATCAGTTGTTTTAAATCATACGTTTTCCTTGAATTCGACAGAAGTGAGAAATATTCGAAATGTATGGGAAATTAACATTCAGTTCAGATGGAGACTTTATAAATACTGGGTACAATGCTTGGTTATGAAAACAGAAGGTAAATATTTAGAAATGAAAGAAGAATTACGATATGTCTCTAACTACAATGAACGACGGGCGTTATTGGATCAAATGAGGGTGTTGAAGCAATCGATAAATTATGCTTTGTCTTCTGTACTAAATGAATATGATTTAAAGGAGTACATTAACAGTAAGCACTTCAAATCATTGCGTAGATATTCTTCGAGAGATCAAGTTTTTATGTACCATTGGTTAGAGTTAAAAGTGAAAAACGGAAATAATATTAAAGATCGTATTGAAATTATTCAAAAACTACATTCTATGTTTACGCTTTTAAGAGACAATTGCAAAGAAACTGCTAACGTTGCCAATCAGAATAATATAAATGATTTTGCAGACGTCGAATACCTGGATGCGCAGCGAGATTTTGATTCGGATGATATTGCAGGAGCTTCATACGATGTTGCATTGGACGTTACACTAGACAACTGTGATTCCATTAATTTTCTTGATGACTGGCAGGTTCAAGGAGGCCAAAGTGCTGTGAATAAATTATTCAGGGAAAAATTTTGTAATTCAGCCGTGATGTCAAAAAATGAGTTTAAAAATGTCACTAATGTCTGGAAATTAACCATAGAAGACAGGTGGAAACTCTACAAATATTGGGTGCAAAGGTTTATTGAGCTTAAAAAGCGGAAAAAGTACAATCTTCTTGAAAATCTCCGCGAAAAGCACGTCGAACTTCTCGAGTTACGGTCTTTGAAAGATGTTCACGTTGCTAGTAAAGCTGATGTTATTGGTATGACCACAACTGGGACTGCTAAGTACCGATACATTATTGAGTCCTTGAAACCATCAATAGTTGTTGTAGAAGAAGCTGCAGAAGTACTAGAGTGCCACGTGGTAACCTCTTTGAGTCCTGAGACAAAACACGTCATATTAATAGGAGATCATTTGCAGTTGAGGCCCAATCCTAATATTCATATGTTATCTGTAAAATACGATTTGAATGTTTCTCTTTTTGAAAGACTGGTCAAAAATGGTTTGGAATTTGTCCAATTGCTCATTCAGCATAGAATGAGACCTGAAATAGCGGGATTGCTAGTTCCACACTTCTACAAAACTTTAGAAAATCATGAGTCCGTTAGTTTGTATGAGGATGTCAGAGGAGTGAATAAAAATGTATTTTTTATTTCACATAGTTTTGATGAACTTCAAGATGGCGATAATCAAAGTAAGTCCAATCAGCATGAAGCGAAATATTTGATTTCTCTATGCGAGTATTTCATTAAGCAAAATTACGAACCTTCTCAAATCACTATACTGNAATAACTATCGTTATATATTAGAATATAAAGTATGTACTTTCTGTTCGATTTTTAATATTGTGCTATTCGATTCATATAATACTGTTCGATTTATTTCTAATTTCGCTCGTTGTTAAAATTTTAATAATATTTTCAAAATACTAATTAGATCATTCAGTGTAAAGTAGGCACAATTAGTTTAGAATCATTTGAAAATAACGGTTTTTAAGCTCATTAACTCTTTATTGAATTAACCCAGATAATGCAACTAAATTATTTATTATTTCTCTCGGTATGACTTTCTTTTATAAAATATGCTTTCTCACTTTCCGAGTTTCCATAATTAAGATAAATCGAGGGAGAGGAGCATCTGATTTTCTCATTTGGCGGAAAATGGAGAGAAGGTTGCCAAGGAATTTTGAAGATATGCAGATCGTTAATTTAAGTGGAAATGAAATAATTGCATCTTGGCGACTTCTGAATTCCAGTACATTTGAAATTATTCATGTCAGCAAAGCTTACTGTACATCGCGATTGACATAGTGAGAAATGTATGCAGTTTTTAATGAAAATTAATTCGAATTAAGGAGAATATTTAAGAATGAATTGTATTTGTAATGCGAAAATTATGAATTATAGAAATGAAATGTACACAATATTTTCAACAGAGTCATTACTTTAAAATGTTATCTACATATGAGTTATGTGTGTTGAGGCTATTTTAATACCGGATAGTTTATTATGTTGTGCAAGGAATAGTCTTAGAATTTAGAGCTTTAAGGATATGAATGTTTTATATGATCCTTGTAATTCTTAAAGCTACAAATATATACATTGTACTGAGAAAAAAGAATGGCCAAAACTACCAGAATATAGTAAAGTTTACTTTACTATATCTATGAGACAATCTCTGTAATCTAACTAATAATAATATGATATTTATCTATATATATTATTATGCTATATTATATATGTTGCAGTAACATAATAGTATATTATATATATATATATATATATATACACCAAAAAGCTATTCATTAAAAATATCTAATACCAACACCAATTAGAGCTGGTATTCCACCTGTGAAAAAAGGATTCTTCACCCTGAACAGAACTTCTGGCTACAGGCCTGTCTGAATATATTTTAAAGCATTATAAAATATAAATTATCTATGACCATTTTTTGTTGTTGTTGTGTAGTCTAATTAATGTTAAAATTTCGAATGTTAATTATTGTTTACTTAAGGTAGACATTTAATTTCTGAATAAATTGAAATAAAAGTAAAACGGTGTAGATCAATAAAATAAAAATGTCTATATTACTTCAAGTTTTTTTAATCAGATTATGGTAGCATGTCTGTTTTTTTGTTCTTTTCTCGCTTAACTATTCCATTTTTGGTGCATATTTTAAAAAGTTTATTGAGAGCGGTGATTACAAAAAACAGTGTATAATTTAGTATTAACCTTTTATGAACAGCTACAGCTTTCAACGTATGAATGTATGTAATGTTCAATGTATGAATAAATGTTAATTGTGTTAATGTATGAATAAATGTTAATTGTGTTTATGTATGAATAAATGTATACTGTATTCATGTATAAATAAATGTTCAATGAATGAATAATTGTACAGGAAAAGTTTAACATCAGATTGAATAAAATCACGTGATTTTCATTTTGTCCATTATAAATATTAAAAGATATCTGGTGGTTTATTGTTCTACTTATGGAAGCAAATGGTATCTTATAAAACCATTATAAATCCTTTTGAAACCAAATCTATTTGCACTCAAAACTATTCTTAAATATAGAACACATATTCAGCGAAATAATTAAAAAAAAATATAGAAAGCTCATTTTTCAATGCCATTACCTACTTGCAACTTATAAGTTATTGACAACAGTTAAAGTGCGAAAATGAGCATCAATATTTTTTGTAATAATAAAGAACTTAAGCTCTTTTAATACGATATGTTAAAAAATAAAGAACTTATTAAGTAATAAGAACATAATCCAATTTTCTGCTTAAAAAAATAAATTTAAGTCAAGAAAGTTAATATAAAGAAGAAATCTATTCAGTTAAATATAATATATTGTTAGCCACTTACATTTGACTAAATATGTGTAAGGTATGTTATGTTTTCTAGCATTGTTTGTCAATGAAAATAAAAATTTTTTGTATCAACAGTAGGCTTACAATAAGTATTAATAATTGTCACTTCTTAGTTATTCACTATTTTGTTTTTATTCGCTAATGTAAAAGCATTATATTTCTGAAAATTTCACATTTTAAGTTGGTTATAATATTAATTTTAATTTAAGTTTGTTTTTTAAAAACTTAGATATTAAATATACGTTTTAAAATATGCTTTGTCGAAAATTTTAACCATTTGTATATTTATCGGTAATAGTTAGAATTCAAGAAAATACTTGCAATTTTAAAGTTTGAAAAATGTATCCAGATATTTGTTTCAATTTTTATTTTTATATTTCGTTTTCACAACAGGAAGAAAAAGCGACTGAAATTGTAGAACTGGAGTTACATTAGTTTTTTTTATAAATTTGGATGATAATAACTATATATATTGTGCGTGTGAAGATATAGATATTTTTTAAAAATTTTCTATTTATTTCTGTGTAGTCCATTTAAAAATAAATAAATAAACAAAATAGCTAAATTTACAAACACCGGCGGAATAGACCTTTATTGTAAACGTATTTATCGTTATTGTACGAATTTTTTAATAGAGAGTACAAATTATTATAGTTTAAAATGATGTGTTCTGAAATTTACCTGCTTTTTTGTATAAAATATTTTTTGACTAATATTAAAAAAAATTATGTAAAATATTAAATAACTGTTGAAAATTAATTTTTCCCTTAAACTAACTTAAGACTCACTTTAATGATCAATTCATTGATTTTAGAAATGTTTAAAATTAATTGTATTTAATAACTTTAAAAAAAAAAGTCAAAGAAAACCATCTCTTTTGAGGCATTAAAAACTTTTTGCCTTGCAGGATAAGCATTGATTCGGGTAAAACGTTAGAAACCTATGCCCTAAAAAAACTGACGGACTGCGGTTCAGTTCCAGACTTCGAAAGGTCAGAAACTAGATCAGGGGTTTCCAACTTACAGGAGGCCGGGGGCCACAATTAAAAACACAAATCAAATGGCGGGCCGCAACTTTGTCAAAATTTTATGTAGGACTCTTTTATGTTTGAAGGAACATTAAATATTACTGTCAGATTTTAACCAAGTTGTACAAAACTAAAGTATTGAATTACAAATTAAAATAAGAAGTAGATTTTCAAAAATATTTAATTGTTATTAATAATATTTAAAAAAATATTAAGTAGTAAAAATTCGGGCTACAATAACTTTAATGTGCACCTATGTATTAAGCAATTAATGTGCAACAGATATCTAATTGTTAAGACATAAAACTTTAAAAAGGTTGGCATTAAAACTTACTTAGTAGCACACAAAATGTTCAATGAGAAAATTGAGGTTTGTCTGCTACAACCACCTGAGAATAGATATTTACATTTTAAATTTACAAGTGTATGTGTAAATATTTTCATCCAAAATGAGTGGTTTCAAAAAGTTAAATCGGAGAATTTCTGATACGCACATGCTAAATTATATTCACAAAATACAAAAAAATTAAATAAAAAAGACCAACATACGCGACTATTTTTATGTTTGAATAAATATTTTTTTGGATGGAAAACCTGAGAAATAAATTTTTTTGCACCGTTGGTATGTTAAATTTCACAGAACGAAGAAATTAGAATTTTATTAACGAGAAAAGTATTTTAAACCCATATAGATTTTTTACGAAAATTGTCCGCAAAAAAATGACAACTAATATATTTTAGTTCGCGGGTCACAAAAAAAGGCTTCACGGGCCGGATGCGGCCCCCGGGCCGCCAGTTGGAAACCCCTGAACTAGATCACCATTTATCTAAAATTATTAATTAATTGAGCTAATATCTATTTAATATTTCGGTCAGCTTTAAGAAATTATATAATGTAATGCCAGCGGGGAAAAAATAAAATATTAAAAAATATAGTCATTATAATGATAATTCACAGATTAAATTATGAAAAAGTTATTAATTTTTTAAAAACAATTGTATTAACATTTTCCGACCTCTGAATCCAAAATAAAATAGCTAAATTAAGCAATAAGGAAATATGTATTCATGATAACCAGGCACATAGCTCTGAATGTTTACATTCGTGTGGTCCACTGAATATTTTTTGAAATATATATATAATTTTAATAACATAATTTTCGATCTTAAGAAATTATGGGGGTGGCCCGACCCCCTCAAACCTCGCTCATCTACGTACCCGCTGATAATGCAACGGTTCTTTTTCGCCGATAAATAAGCTTGTTTTATTCAGTTTCGGCTTATGCATACTCGAAAAAACTAATTCAGAGCTAGACTAGATACCACTCCCAACCCTTTGAATACAGTTGTCTGACTATTACAAAACTATTAATGATAAAACAAAGGAAATTTGAGTTTTTTCAAAATAAATAGTTCATTCAAAATAGTTAATAGTGCATTTGGTTAATATATTAGTAATTGCAACTGAACTTTGTTAACGAAATCGGGATTCCACTAAGGCAGTGGTTCCGAAACTTTTTATAGTTAAAACTTGCCCACATGATCGGTATAAAAATTACAAATTTAAAAAAAAATAATTTTGTTGAACTATTTATTGAAATTATATCTTTTGTTTAAAATAAAATAAAAAAATAATGTCTAGGATGAACGTGATGAGATTTTAAGAGTGTATTTATGTCCGGCTCAATGTTTGTGAGCACTAATTTCTAATAATTTATTTATTTTATTTTATTTTGTGATGACGTTCATTACGGCACCAAAACTGAGAGAACAATATCATCTTCCCAAGTTTTGTTATACAGAAAAAGTTTTGCAACAAACGCAGTTTTACGATTTTAGTTCTGATTAAATTTAATTGTTCATCTTGTAGTTTCAAATTAGTTTC